CTTGCAGGCAGGGGCGCCAGGGGAGGCATGGCGCTGGAGGGCCTACCTCCTGTGCTTCCTCAGCCTTCAGCATCTCGATGTCACAGAGCAGCTGTTCTCTCTCCTCCACCAGCTCCACACAGAGAGTCGCCAGATCCTGGCTGGTCTGCTTTTCTCTTTCCATCTGGACTTGCCAGTCTTCGTTCTGCGGAGCCAAAGACCCAGCCCGTGCAAAAGTCCGTTTCAGGGAGTGAATTGTGTTTTAAAGTAAACCCGAAACCTGTCAGCCCCACGGAACACTTCATCAGGCCTTTTCTCAAGGGGAAACCTTCCTGCCCAATTCTTGGGGAGGTACATCAGCCACTGCCAAGGCTGCAGAGCAGGAAGGGAGAAACCTGGCTCCTGGGTGGCGTCCCTGAGCCGCTGCCCAGGTCAGGCCTAGTTGTGCAGTGAGCTCCCCCATACCCTTGACCATCACGTCTCAGCCCATGGTGTGTACTTCCAGCTCATGGTAGAGAAAAAGGCCATGGACACCAATCGGTCAGCTTCCCTCCCAGCTTTCCACTGCTCACTCTCAATGCTTCCATCTTAGGCCATGTCCACTACTGTCCTGAGGTTCAGGCCACATTCCTGGGGCCAGTAGCCACCACTGGATGTCCTCCAGGGACTTCACCTGGGTGGTGACATTCCTATTCATCCAGCTGCTCTGAGGGGTCCTCTGCCATCTCTCTCCCTCCTCTCCCCTCCAAGTAAATGGACCACCAAGGCCTGTCCTCATTCCCCATGCGGCTCCCCCTCCACACCCCACTGCTGCCCAGGCCAGACCAGCTCCGTCCTGCCTGGACGACTGCCCAGTCAGCGGCCCGACACGGAGCTCTTCTGCGGGAACCACCAGTGCCCACTCCCTGAACGTGAACTGCCTGGACCCGCACGTCTCACACTCTGTGCCTGACACCTGAACACTGTGATGGACGCAGATTCAGACTCAGGGTGGGCCCTGAGGTGCGACTCCCAGGCGAGGCCCGTGCTGCTGTCCCTTCCCACTGACACCAAACTCATGACCACAGGAGATGGGGAGAGGGGGGTTCCCT